AATTTATTTTTTGAATAGATGGGTTCCAAATACTTTCGAACCAAAGTCGAATTAGAATCCAATAGTTATGGGCCTGACATCACCATCATTTCAATAATTTATCAAGTCAGTTTTAATTGTTGTAGCCATTTTGAAACGGTTTTCATTTAAAGTGTGGCGCCATCTCTCTCAAAAAAAAGAAACAAAAAAAAATACGCTTGAGCTAGTTTTGAGTTGTCATGTTACTTTATTGCGCAACTCAGTATAATAGAGTTCATTGGCAGAAAAAAATAACAATAATAATATTCCTTATGATTGCCTTTAAAAATAAACTCTTCAGAGAACTCTTACCATTGAAGTAAAATTTGAGACTGTTGGCAAAAACATTTTTGACGGGAATCTCAAGAATGTTGGCGACTGGGTCGATGATGGCGTGAAAACCTCCAGACACAAGATACACACTGACTCCTCTGGCATGAAGTTCAGCTACTAATTCTCTGAAAGGAACAAATGCATTTACACCAAATTCGTTTACTCTTTGGACAACAAGGAGGAACAATCCTCAGTCAAAATATTTGATGGTTTTCCATTGATGGATCAACATAATCTTGATGGTAACCAACATAAGCAACCATCATCGCAATGTAGAAATTCGAACTTATTTATGAGGATCCAACATAAGAATAGCAACTTGTTTTGATGATTTGTTCATGTTGAACCATCACGAATTTCCATCATGGTTTCTTAGAAATCAAATGTTGGAACGATCATGAACCACCATCATCCCGATGATTGATTCCGATTCTGATAGATTTATGATGATCCAACATTTAAAAAAAATTGTTTTGATGGTATATTGCTGATAATCAACAAGAATTCCCACTAAACCATCATGAAAATGTACAGTTGGAACCACCAAGGATTGTCTGTCCATGAGAATCAAACTTCTCTTGATGGTTAGCCATCATAGTATTAAAGTATCATTTTCTATCATGGAATGATGGACGTTTGTTGGCATATCAAAGCCATGAACACGTAATGGAATATGTTGGATGATGGTGACCATCATGGATGTTGGACCATCATGAATCACACTAAAACCAACATAACCATCAAATTTTTTGAAGGGACCATCAAGAATTTTGACTTGAGATTACATAGGAATAATAAAAATGCATTACGGACTTCGCAAAAATTGGTACATTTCTCTGACGCCAATTGTGTTTAATAAAATTTAAAAGTTCCTTTAACTATTTCTAGCTCTATTTTATAAAGTTCCAATATCTATTATTATTTCTCTGATAGGTCGAGAGCCTAAGTTTGGGCAAATAAAACCATACAAATATTTTCCGCATAGAGTTAACGTGGGGTAATGGATAAGGTATTTATATATGACGGAATACCAGGAAAATGAGCCGAAACTAATTTTCCTGGCATTATGTGCCTGATTTTGAAACTTAAAATATCGTCTGTACTAATTAATTAGCATAATTGAATTCATCCTCTCGAGCCATTTAGATTAAGTTCTAGAACGTGAAGATCCGATCATTAGATCAAAAGTTAATCAGGATAGTCCATTTTTTTTGCTGACTGTACATTAGAAAGTNTTTTTTTTTTTTTTTTTTTTTTTTTTTTTTTTTTTCCTTCGTTTTTTTGGTACACTGTACATTAATCCGAAAATCTAATCAAATTGCATGGAAAATGGCAACAAAAAAATTTTCTGGCTGCAGAAACACCTGAAAAAGAAACAACTTACTTGATGCCAGGAGTAAGACGCGGTGGATGACTTCTTAAAAAGTCATTAAATAAATCTGTAGTTGGCTGGATTATCTCCAAACGTTTCGCCAAAGCTTCTCTAAAAGTCATTCCACCACGCATAGCTCTTAGAGTTCTGAAATAAAAAAAATTCGAAATAACGTATATAGTTTTTACCCATTGACAAAATGGGTCTTGTTTTAGGTTTTGTGGCGCACGCACTTTATTTGGACGACATCACACTTTTCAACTGTGCTCAAGAGTAATAGTAAACAGTGCGCATGCGTCGTCATTGAAGGCGTTGCTGGGGCGATCGCTGCTGTTCGATAATTTTTTTTAGAATTCTTTTTTTTTTTCTTTTAATTTTCACCAGCAGTCATTCTTAATGTAACATATTTACATAATAAGTTAAAGTGGCTGGGTGGCACAGTTGATTTGTCGTCGGCCTTCTGACCCCAAGTCTACGGGTTCGATCCCCGGCTCAGACACCGGATTTTCGGGATGCAGAAAATCCTCCGCGGCCATGTCGTATGATTATGCGGCATGTAAAAGATCCCTGGAGTGTCTTATTGGCTCTTGGCAGTTACGGCAAAATTAAATTCCTAGTGCACTTTAGCATTCAAATAGAGTCTCGGGGCTGCCATCTAGTGTGGCAGAAACTAGTCGTCCAAATTAACATGACCAACGGTATCTCACCCATTGTGGTGGTCCTGAAAGAGTGGATACCACCTCTGGAGAACGCACTAGGTCTACTCATCGGCAAGACCGATTGTGCAGCTCATTGGAAATAAAAAAATTAAAAAAATAAATAAAAATAAAAAAAATTAAAAAAATTTTAAAAAAACTTAATAAGTTAACGTATTTTCATAAAAGTTTTATTATTAACTTATAATTACTGCCTTGGCGATGATTTTAACATAAATATGAATACTGAAGAAGGAAAAATGTTTTGTGACGTCTTGAAACACGTATATAGCCAAGATTTGAAACCCAATCCGACGACAAACATCAATGGAGACAGTTTTTGCAAACCATGATTTGAAATGTTGTGTCGTTTATCGGAGTCAAACAAGAAAAAAAAAAGCATTTGACCAATGGACAACCAGTAATCGTAATAAAGCGATAACGATTTTTTTTTCTTTTTTTTTTTTNTTTTTGATTTTTTTTTTTTTTTTTTTTTTTTTTTTTTTTTTTAATATTTTTACTTGTTCAGTGAATATACAGGCAAATACAGTGATCGGAAAAAAATCGAGTAACAAATTGATTAGAACATGCTAGATGCGGATCAGATTTGATGTAGCACATGCATTAATTCGTAATTTTGTTGAGAAGAGTATTTGGCACCTTATGCTACCTTAGTTTGACTTGATACCTTAGTTTGATTTGATACCTTGATTAGGTATCTTAGTTTGATTTGAATACCTTGAAATTCTGAAAAAGTATCAAACAATTTTCTAAGTATTGATGGTAACTTTTAAGACAAATCTCAGAAATATAAGGGAGGTTTCACAAATTTTATTTTGTATTTTAAAACAAATGAAATTACCCTACAATAGTTGACCGGGTACAATAATTGAATTTGTGTAAGTACTGGTCATCGATCGGCCCTATTGCATCAAGGACAATGCTGCCGAAGGCAGCAGAAAGTATCGTGGGGCCGCGAAGCAGTGATTTCGTGCAGATGAAGGGAATGCAGATGAAGGGAATTGTGGAATTGCGAAGCGATAAGTTCATGTTGGCGGGACAGCTGGTCATTGCAAACAGCAATTGATAGAATAAACTTATAAGCATGCTAAACTTATAAACTAAGATAAATGAAATAATAACGTTGAAAATGCTAAAAATGTGTTAGTATCAATTCTTCAGACGCGCCCATACATTCGTTCGTTTGAACACGTGATACAAAGATTTAATTTTATGTTACCAAAAATATAATTGCATTCTTTTGTAAATATTATTGTCATCTGGGTCTCAAAATCGGACAGTAAAACGTACAAAAATAAATAATAAAAAAAATTTCTAAATTATAAGTTGTGATCGCCTTATTAAACATTGGTCAAATGCTTTTTCTTTCTGAATTGACTCCATTAAACATTTCAAATCATGGGTTGCAAAAACTGTCTCCATTGATGTTTGACGTCGGATTGAATTTCATATATCCTGCCTATGTACGTCTTTCACAAAATACTTTTCTTTCTTCAGCATTCATATTTATATTGAAATCACCGTCAAGACAGTAAATATAAGTTAATAATAAAAATAATATAAAAATACTTTAAATTATTATTATGTAAATACATTAAAAATACCTGCTAGTGAAAAGAAAAACAGCAGCGGTTGCCATAGCAACGCATGCAATGACGACGCATGCACACTGTTAACTATTACTCTTGAACACAGTTGAAAAGTACGTGCACGCCATCAAATCCAAACTAAGATCCTTTTTACCATAGGGTAATAAAAAATAATAATAATAAATAAATAAAATTAAAGCTTACAGTTCAACTACTTCCTTTTCTTTGTTGGCAAATTTGGCAATTTCATCGATTGCTTCATCCATGCAGACAGTAGAATCGACGTCGAAGCAGACAGCGTCCGCAGCTCTCCACAAATTCCGCACCCTCGCTTCATTCACAGACATTCTCTCAAATATCCCTCTCTCTGCGTGTCTGTTCTTAAACAAGACATTAAAATGTAAGAAAAAATAGCTTAATTTGCAAAACATAATTCCTTTCAGTATCATAGTAGCCTATAGTCAAAAAACAAAGGCAACGTTTAAACATAGCCTCTATAGGCTTGTGAACTTCACTGGCTTCAAAAACTATGAAGATGGAAATAAAAGTCGACATGTTTCAAGCATTCGAAAATAGTCACCCATTTTCAAGACTTTCCAGACGTGAATGATCAGACTTGAAAATGTGCGCCTATTTTTGAGCGCTTGAAACATATCTACTTTTATTTCCAGCTTCATATTTCTTGAAGCCAGTGAAGTTTTGAAATCAAGTGCCGAGTCAGCTTCTTAGAATTATGTTTTTATCCGTCTACAGTAATTAATTAGAAAATTAAGATCTACTAGTAGAACCAGAAAAATAGCATTTTATTACATGTAAATCCAATCATTAAGTTAAAAAAAAGTTAGTCAGGATGTTCCTTCATTTAATTGTGTGAACAATTAAAGAACCGGTAACTTTGATGTCTGATTAGCTTTAGAAAGTTTATAAGCTAAGTCCGATAAACATTATAAAGTATCTAAGTGATATCTGATAAATCTTAGAAAGTTCATAAGCGATATCTGAATAACCTTATAAACTTTATAAGTGATATCCGCTAAACCTTATAAAGTTTGTAAATGATAATCAGTCTTACGATTAGTATCCTTAATTAGCTTTATAAAGTCGATAAGCGCTATCTGATAAACCCTTTAAAGTTAATAAACTAATATCTGATTAAGCATATAAATTTCATAAGTGAATATCTGATAAACCTTTTACTGCTTATAAACAAACATCCGATAAACCTTATAAAGTTTAGAAGCTAATATCTGATTGACCTTGAGTCTGTGTTATTGATAGTAATAAAACATAAGTATTCATTGGAACAGATAGACTAGGACAGTGGTTCCCAGATGGTGTTCCGCGGAACCCTTGAGTTCCATAAAAGTGTTAAATGGGTTCTGAGAGCAAAGAGTTTTTTTTAAACAATTTTTTTAAAATATCTTGATCCAATCAAGGATGCTGGGGAATAATTTTTTTTCGGTTTGATGAGATTTTTTTTAACAAATTTTAGATACTTTCGTAGTGCTGATTTCGAATCTCTAATCGTTTTCTCTCTCCAGACTACTTTTTATTTCAAAAATGACATTTTTAGTTTAATTTTTGGTCGAAATGCATAAGTTTCAAAACATTATACATAACAGGGAGCAGCATAGATGTTGAGACAACACTTCTGGGGAAGTTAGGGCACATAATCGAGATTAAAACTGCATAGGAACAGGAGCCAGAAAATGCAGTCGTACGCCACTAGGGGCTCTTCTCCATCATGAACTGTTTCTTTGCGTGCTTCTGAACAGGTCGCAATAGGGGACGTGCCCCTAGCCGCGTACAACGCCGTTTCCGGGTATGGGTTCCTATGCAATTTTTAATCCTGATGATATGTCCAAACTTCCCTCAAAGTTTGTCTTAACATTTACACGACCTTCTGTTATACAACGTTTTCAAACTTGTACATTTCGACAAAACATGAACAAAAAATTTCATTTAAAAAAAATCTGTAGCTTTAGGAGCAAAACTATTTTTAGATTTGAAATCACCACACCCGAATTAGTAAGATTCAGGTATCTAAAGAGGCAACAAAAAATTAGTTAGCCGTTGTTGTTCATTATTTACTTAATATTTAGGTAGCCTTTACGAAATTATTTAAAATAAAATGCGAATAAAAAAGTAAGGAAAATATTTTTTCAAACAATGTACGTAATTTTTCTAATTACAACGTATTGAATTAGTTATGAAAAGGACATGCATTTATAAAAAAATGCATTAGTATTTCTCATAGCGTTTTTTGAATCAAAATAAAATAGCGAAATTCGCTATTAAAAAAAAAGAATTAATTTACGAAAATAGTTTAAATAACAGAAAATCGGAAATAATAAATAATTACCGAATTTCCGTTTCCGAAAATATCCTCTTCAACATATTTAATAGTTCTTTTTAGTGTTCGTTTCAACATGAAAGTCACATATTTTCAAAATTTAGTAGTATTTTTCTTGGTTAATACGTTTCCAATTGTCTTTGTATACTTAATTTATAAAATCGGGGTTCCAAGAAAAGAAGGTGGATCATTTTGGGTTCATAAACCGATCGAAAGGAAAGGCTGGACTAAGAATATTTTCGACGCTAAAATCGCCAAAGGTTAATGAAACTGAATTAGAATAACTTAAAAAGTGGGAATTGTGATTATTTTTGTAAATGAATCGGTAAAAAAAAGAAAGACCTTTGAATTAATGCTAAAATGAAATATAATAAACTTCAAATTTTTAATTTTGAAATTATTAATAAAAGAATTGGATTATAAAACGATTTTTTTTATAAATAGTATTAAAGAGGAAAATTTCTGAAGAAAATATAAGTTCTTATGCAGCGCCGCGCTAAACATTCACCACCTCGCCAATTGCGATCAAATTGTAAATTTGGCGAAATTGTGTTTTGGCGAATGATTTTTTCCCCTGGATAGAAAAATATATATCTAACTCTATCCTCAAAATGAATTATTCGAAACAAATAAGTATTTTTTGTTCGATTACAGTAATTTTCGGTAGGTACGCCACATAACCAATTAGAAATGGGTCCAAATAATATAAGCCTGAAACAAACTACCGCAAAATAGTTTTTTATGGAGAAAAAAAATCATCATAAAAAAATTGTTAAGATTTGCTTTTTCGAAGACTTTAGAAAATTAGCGAATACTTTTGATATTTAGTTAGTTTATAGGCTAATAATTTGAAATCCTTCACGCGGGCCCTGCTTATGGAATGCAGCTAATTGTTCAACAAGAAAAGGAGAAAATATATATATATATATAAAAGGATAAAAAGAATTTTGAGAAATGACACAGAAAAATATTCTTTTTCATTTTTCTTTGCATTTATTACTATTGCTTCACACTGGCATTTACACAGAACATTTCTGTATTAGTCTACCAGATTGTTCTCGATTATAGTAGTGTTCTAAATTTCCCTCCCCCTGATATGTATTCTTTCATAAACACATAAACTTTTCTAAATAAGAATGCCAAAAAACGATTAAAAGAACAATAAAGTTTTATACTAAAAGAATGACTTACCAAAATCTGCGGGGCTGTTTTAATGCTTTCATCTATGGTCACAGAGGTACAAGGAGTGTCATGTTTGAAAATGAGTGATTACGCAATAGAGAGCGAGCTATTGACACTGGACTAACGTCACTTCATTAAGCAAGTTCGTCACACTTGGCAGGTGGAAAGTTTACCCGTTTCTTGATTTATTCAGATGCTTGACTTTCTTCCTTACGCCTTGTTTACTTGTTATTTAAGAATTAGAATAAAAGAGTAAACAAGTATTTTCATCGGCGCCAAGCACTTCATTTACATTCTTTTTCATTGAGGGTGTTGTTGTTCTTTCATGCTTTTTCACAAAGGATAATAAGAACTCGAAGCAAAAAGCTTTAGTTTCAAACTATGCAAAGCTACGCTGCGTTAATGCCTGGATTTAATAGCTGAAATATATAGAACAATATTAATGATCGCCACCGGCTATAAAAATGGATTAAACAAATTTTCAATTCCAAAGTGAATTAAAAATATTTTTTCTTAATCGACACTTTTTTTCGCCAAAAATATGTTGCATTGTGCGAATTGGGCAAACGTAGCATTTGTGGAAATATTCAAAACATTATTGTTTATATACATATAGTTGAATAAATAAATAATTAATTGGATAACAAAAAATTAATAATATTATGTTAACCAAAAAACGTGAAGCGCATCACTTTTGAAAATCGTGCAAGTAGTTGTCAATTACCCAAGTAACTAGCCTTATATTTTTACTGACAAAAATAAATACATTTTCTTATTTTCAGTCTACCTTAAACATGAGTTTTTTTTTAACAATTTTTATTTATGTTATCATTTTCTTCTATTAAATTTTATATCCGACCGTTTTTTGTTAATGCTCAAAATTTCTATTGTCTAGTACCATTTAGGAAACAATCGGAACAGCTCTAGAAGAAAATTTAAGCACCCTATCTACTCGAAAGTAGTCTGAAATTTTTATGATTAAGTTCTATTTGGCGAAAAAAATGGCAATAAATGCCAACGCGCAAAAAGCAATTAAAACTTGCATTACCATCAGACATGCTACGGTAAAAGCTTGAAATCTATAGTTTGACGAAAAGTGGTCTGAATATCGTTTAAAAGATTCCACACTCTTCGAGACATGAAAACGAGTTGACGAAACTTCGTAAATTGCTTATTTTTATAGTAGGTTTCGTCACGGATCATATTTTTCACAAAAATTACGGAATTTAAATTATTACGAGGACAACGAAGGGGAAAAATAGCCAATGTTTAAAAAAAAGTATCTCTCACTACATTCTCATTTTAAAATACCTGAGATACTGAATTTTAACAATTTGCTTAAGACTGACCATGTTCGAATTAACATTCTTATTTCAGTTAAAATTCTATAATCAGAAATTAAGAAAAAAGTTCTATGTATTCAAAAATGCAATTTACATTTTCCTTCAAACGGTAGAAATAAATAAAAAAAATATTTTAACTCTACGATTAAAGATTTCAATAAATGTGAAGGAAGTTCTTTATCTAAGATGTCTATTTTATTATTATTATTAAATCAAACACTGTCTACTAACTTAGTTATTCATCAGTTTAAAAAAGAAAAAAAAATTATTGCATTTTCGAATGCGAGTAATTTTGTTCCATATTTTCCAGTGTCATTCTCGTTACTCAAATTTTTATCTTTATCCTTTAATCCATGTTCTTTTCACCGACAACGTGTTGAGGGGGGAAATCTGAATCGATGATTTCTTGTTTCTTTATAAAATATTTTTTCACTTCCTTAGTCGCCGCTATCGACTTATTTCAACTTACGTTAATGACTTAAAAGCAGTTAGGCTTTTCGCTTAAGATCATAGACACAACACTTAAAGCTCAAAACTTTAAGAGGTCTTGTTTGGATCAAAAAAGCACAACAGCAATCAACTTATCTAAAATTTTATTTAGAATTCTTAACTTTTTAACAAGAGTTTACCATATAAACACATACATTATTTAAATGCAAAAATTTTTGTGAAGCAATGCAAAGATCTTATATAATTTAATTATCTTTGAAGCTAAATTTTGAAAAAAGAAAGGAAAGAAATTGAAAGAATTTGCAGACTTGGTCGATTATCTCTGGAACTACTGGACCGATTTTAATGAAACTTGATATGTACAATACATTTATACAATACAGAATAAATAACCATTCAACAATTGTAATACACATGCACAGTGGCGTACGCAGAATTTTTTCAAGGGGGGTGTTCACAATTTTCTGAAACTACTAAAAGAAATTAGAGTCTGTAATAAAGCACGATTATTTCCCTAATTTAGACAGCTAGACAATTTTGACTTTTTATTTAGCAACATTGGTTAGTTAAATTTTGATTTGATTTTTTAAGTTTAAGAACATAATGTAATATCTTCTAAAAAAAGTCCGTCATATGGGTGGGAAGTAACACTTTGAGGGCCACTTTCACATTCATCAGATATTTGTTATGCTAGAGACGTTTTCTTCAATTGAAGTATCACATTTCTGTACAACAGAAAAACTTACATTGGTACTAGATGCTGTCACCTCACTAATTTCAGGTCGTGATTTTTTCTCAAAATAATTAAAAATTGTTAAATTCTTGCGTTTTGACATCCTAGATATCCAAGAACAGCAAATATATGTATATATATATATAGGCACAGAAATATCCGCTATGCTACGATCTCAAAGTTTCGAGCTGGAATGAATAACTTCAACGAGCGCAGTATCTCCAATGGTATTGTTACTGATTTCTTCACTAGTCGAAATAGTGGCGACGACGGGTTCGGCGATTGAATGAACTTTTTGTTGAGATAAATCAAAACAGATTTAGCGACAAGCTCCGAAAGACAAGTGGCAGAGATAACTCAGTCTGACTAACTAACTCCACTGTACTCCGTTCCCCCTTTTTTTATAATTTTTCACCGCATCTCCAAAATTTTCGAATTGTCTCAAAGACGACCGAACGTTTAGAATTCCAGAATCATCGCGTAAAGACCTCGTGAATGACAGCCAGTCTCTAAAACTATACTGGCAGGACAGAAAGGAACCAGTCCGTAGCAGTATCACGTGAATTTGGTTTCAAAAGTTCAACCCTATTATAGTAAATGTTTTTTCAGTATTCTGATAAATACCGTGAGAAAAAAAAAGTAGGCATAAGGCAAAAAAAATATATATAGTCTTAAGAAATAATAGATCGCACAATTTCTACTAAAATTTTTATTTTTGCCATTTTGTCTGAGCTCACTGCACATGCATGATTGCACGTAACAGTCCATTGGACGCGGAAGGCATAAAATTGCCACAAAGCATTTCAGTCCAGTTGCCACAAGAAGTGATAAAATGTCTTATTTCAAGTATGAAATTAAGCTTCAAGGCCTGTATATCTGTAGGAGGGGACCATACCCCCTATTAATCTTTCTTTCATTTCTTGTTTATTCTACAACAGCTGTTTCATACCTTTCGACTCCAACAGATGTTACGCACGATCGTGTGCATGTTATTTCGATTGTTGAATGGTTATTTGCTTTGCATTGCGGTATGTACAGTAGTTGGGTCCAGTAGTTCTAGAGACAATCGACCAAGTCTGCAAATTCTCTTAATTTCTTATACCAGTACATATGACGTAACAGTCAGTAGGACAATAACAGTCATAAAATTCCTGTTAGTGACCTTAAGCAATTTTTAATAGGCTGTGAAATATGGTATTTTTTAATACTTCTAAAAAGCTCCAACCCCTGTTTCCTCCACTCACCAAACCCCATGGTTGCTTTCTCATTCATCGTTGCTATTTTCCTTAAGAATCGAAAGGGAAAAAAAGCGTTTTGCTTATAACATATTTGTATGTAAGCACATTTTATTAATATGTCAATCGTAACGACAAGTAAGGATACCACGAATTGAAAAATAATCAGCTGTACTTGAGGAAAAAAATATATTTAATCTTAAGAATACAGAAAGTGTACACAATTAAAAAAAATTAACGAGAAGTAATTTTATTTGACAACATGTAAAGGTAACCTTGTATCATATAGCAGTTCGAGTTAGAAACAGTTTTTATCTCTTTTGTGTCTTTTATATTACTGAAAATATATTATATTATTGTCTTATTGAAAAGTCATTTTATTTGAAAAGGTTTTTTAATAAAATTTTATTATCAATATAATAATAAAAATAGAAATTTAAAAACAAATACTTTCTTTTTTAAACATTGAATATTTATTCGTAGCATTTAGTTAATAATCATACCATATTTATTATTAATAATACCATACTATAATACCATTAATAGCAGGGCCTGATTATAGCCTAGGCCCAATAGGCATGAGCCTAGGGGCCAACCAATTTCCGAGGGGCCTCAAAAATTATTAAAAATTCTAATGAAAGGTGGGCTAGCTATGTGTTGGTTTAAGTACCAAATAAAAAATAATTCCAGCTTACAATAAGAAAAAATTCCGCTAATCAGAGACTTTTTGCAAAAATCATTGATTTCAATTGTTTGTGGTTACCAAACTATTTTTTATTTTGATATAACATTGTTTTGTTGTTTTATATTTTGCTTTGATTTATAGATACGTAAACTTTATCTTAGGAAACTAATCTTCAATTGTCTGCTTTCAAAATTTCTTGGAATGTTTCACTTGAATCATGCAGTTCGATAGATTCTTTTTCATTATTAGGACAACTCTTCAGTAATTTAATTTCAAAANAAAAATTCTAATGAAAGGTGGGCTAGCTATGTGTTGGTTTAAGTACCAAATAAAAAATAATTCCAGCTTACAATAAGAAAAAATTCCGCTAATCAGAGACTTTTTGCAAAAATCATTGATTTCAATTGTTTGTGGTTACCAAACTATTTTTTATTTTGATATAACATTGTTTTGTTGTTTTATATTTTGCTTTGATTTATAGATACGTAAACTTTATCTTAGGAAACAAATCTTCAATTGTCTGCTTTCAAAATTTCTTGAAATGTTTCACTTGAATCATGCAGTTTAATGGATTCTTTTTCATTAATAGGACTACTCTTCAGTAATTTAATTTCAAAATATTTTGTAAAGGGCCCAGAAAATTTAGTGGGCCTTGGGTCTGAATTTCTCTTGATCGGTCCCTGATTAATAATACCATATTATTACGGTCAGGGGTGCAATTAGGGTTTTAGCTGCCCTGGGCGAAACTTTAAGGCATTTCGTCATTAAGGTATTAATAAAAATCATGTCATGTTTAACAAACTACTTATTGAGCATTAGATTTTTTTTTTATTTCAATCAAGTTTTTTTAAATAGTTTTCGCGTTTAACGATCAAAAATCAAACGTGCAAATGTAAAAAAAAAAATGTTCAAATAATACTTGATATTAATTAACAATAATACTGGAACTAAAATTTTCAATGCCACTATTAATGAAAGATTAATATTAATATTTAATTTTTGCAAACAAATTATTGAATATGTAAAGTCAATTAATTATATTTTATCAAACTAAAAACATTAATAAATCGCAAAAATAGATAACTAACTTGTCGAATAAAAAGTAAATTAATTTCGATCAGAGAACATTTTCAAAAATAAATTATTCCCGGTCGAACAAGTCTTCATTCTTCATTTTCAAGTAAATATTTAATAAGTTTTAAAATTACTTGTATTGAAATAAATGTGTATTAAATTAGATGGGTATAATTGAAATATATTAATCGATAATAAAGCAGCAAATTTATTTTTTCAGTCTGCAATGAACAGAAAAAAATATGAAAATGATAGGAAAAGAAAAATTATAATTTTAAAGTTACATTTTATCTGCATTTGAGCACTTAACAAAATAGATATTTTGTTTCTTAATTTATTAACTTATTTCTTGATTCTATGAATAAAACATTTATTATCAACGTGATTTGATACCAATAATTTTTTTTCATAACTTTAAGTATAATGAACTAGTTAATAGAGTACAGCATAAATAATATTTTTTAGATAAATCGATGATTTAAAAAAATTACAATCAATGATTTTTTTTAGTTAAAAATTTTTAAATCATGCTAACCTTGCTTTTCATTTTTCTGGGCATTATCAGCAGTAGTTCTTACCCAGATAGCAAAATATGCTTTATTTTAACCTTTTAATATAAACCTGAAAAGGTTTGTTATACGGCTTACGTGAAAACCTTCTAACCTTAAAACGAGATTTGTGACGATCTGCTCTATTCTACTCACATTACCCTTATCTAAAACTTTGGAAAACAACCTTCGATATAAAAACCTTAAATCGAGGTTGACTTAGAGTTTTCAAGCGTGAAAAAATCCTTTAGTAAAGCTAATCTCAAGGTGAAAATAATCTTAAATCTGGGTAATTATAGGGTTTCTTTTCGCGAAGTCTTGTATGCTCTGCTAGAATCCACCTTGTCTTGAAGTTTTAATGGACAATGCAATTTGATCCTATCGCTAGTGTGACGTCGCTAAAACGTCATTATGGACCTAAGTGACCATTTTATCTAGTTAGCAATACTTCTTTAAAAAACTTCAAAAAATAATTTTTAATCCCTTTAGGATGAAAGGTTTGGAACTGCAATATTTTTGCTATTTTGAAAAAAGGTTTTTAGCACAAACATTTTCGTGACAATAAAGAGAAAATTCCGACCACAAGGTTGACGTAAGGTTACATGCTTTTCTGGGAAGGGTTTGCTGTCCACACACACTCACAAATCGACTATAGTTAAAAATTTTAATACGAATTAATAATGGACAAAGAGTTGCTATACTAAAAATTGCACACCTGATATAAAGGAACTACATGGAACTGAGAATCGTAACATGGAACATTCGCTCTTTGTATAAAAGCAAAGGGCTGCAACTCTTAACGGAGCAGCTGGATAATTACAGGGCTGATGTAACGGCTCTGCAAGAGATGAGGTGGCTTAACNGGAACTGAGAATCGGAACTTGGAACATTCGCTCTTTGTATAAAAGCAAAGGGCTGCAACTCTTAACGGAACAGCTGGATAATTACAGAGCTGATGTAACGGCTCTACAAGAGATGAGGTGGCTTAACGATGGAATAATCGAGAAGAGAAATCACACAATCTTCTATAGCTGTGATAAGAAGAGGCATGTTTTTGGAACGGGTTTTGTTGTGGGCAAACACATTCGGCATCTTGTCATGGATTTCGTGCCAAAGTCTTCAAGGTTATGTAAAATTAGGCTAAGAGGAAAATTCTTTAATTACAGTCTCATAAATGCCCACGCACCTACTGAAGACAAGGATGAAGACGAGAAAGAAGACGAGAAAGAACTTTTCTATGAGAACCTGCATTCTCTATAAAACTCCTGTCCACAAAACGACATCAAAATTATTTTGGGTGACTTAAATGCTAAAATTGGAAAGGACGCTGAGCACAGGCCCACTATTGGAAAATACAGCCTGCACGAAACAACAAATGACAATGGACAGAGGCTCATTCACTTCGCTGCAGAACATAGCATGGTCATATCCAGCACCTTTTTCCAACACAAGAGAATTCACCAAACGACCTGGAGATCACCAGATGGAGATACCTCCAACCAGATTGACCATATATTGATAGACTCTAGACATATGACGGACATACAAGATATTAGAGCCTATCGTGGGGCCAACTTTGACTCAGACCATTACATGGTAATGAGCAGGATCAAGGCCAAACTATCTAATGCACGTAAATGTCATGGGAAACGTCTTGAGAAATTTGACTGCGAACAATTGGAGACCCCTAGAGTCAGGGATGACTTTCAGTCACAACTAACTATGAAGCTTGATGAAAAAGCAATCGTAAATATTGATTGCATAGATAGAAAGTGGACTTTTTTCAAAGAAGCCCTATTGGACACATGTGATAATGTAATAAGCAAAATAAAAAGAGCTGAGAAAAAGGATTGGTTTGATACAGAATGTCGCAACGCGACCCAAAGAAAAAACGATGCATATAATATGATGCTCAGTAAAAAACACTCAAGAGCATCAGTAGAGAAATACAAAACTGCAAGAAGAGAAGAAAAGAAAGTTCATAGGTTGAAGAAAAAGTTTTTTCACGAAGACCTCTTTAAGGATGTCGAACATCTCCGAGGGTCTAATGAGAGCAGAGCTTTCTTTCGTGGCATTAACTTTGGTCGTCAGGAGTTCNGACCTATCCTAACATATGCCTCAGAAACTTGGACAACAACACAGAAAGATGAGAATTCCTTGGGAATCTTCGAACGTCGGATCCTAAGATCCATTTTTGGGGGCAAACAAGTTGATGGTACTTGGTACAGACGTTCAAACTCAGAACTCTATCGGGCTTTTAGAGAGCCTGATGTTGTCAAGTATGTAAAAATCCAAAGAATTAAATGGGCTGGTCACATCATTCGAATGAACAGAGAGCGTTCGACAAACATAATCTTTTTGGCTCAGCCCATCGGATCAAGGCCCAGAGGTCGACCAAAGCTGAGATGGGCCCACTGCGTGGAAAGAGACTTTTCAGTCTTAAAAGTCTCAAACTGGAAGACAACTGCCAGGCGGAGGCAGGCCTGGAGGAAGTTGATTGAGAAGGCCAGGGCCCACCCGGGGCTGTCGTGCCATTGAGGAAGGAAGGAGAGGAAGGCGAACATTAACTGAAATGAAACTGGACATATTTGGAAGTATAAATTATAATAACTCGTATGAATTATATATCCTAAGTATAGTCAAAATATATCCAAGATTTAGGAAATGTAAGGAAAAACTTGTAATAAAACTATAACATATGGATGGTTGACTGAATGTAAACATTAACATGCATCTTAAGACTGAAAGAAATTAGATAACTTCCGGTGTACACCACCGCTTATGTTATGCTTATGGGGTAATGTGTGAACACGCTTAATATTCTAAAAAGTTTTATTATGATCTGTGCCTAAATTTACGCGGGATTTTACAATTCATAAGAATTTTCTGTAATTTATAAATTAAGACAAGCCGTGAGCATAAACAAATTTGAGAAAATTAACAACACAACACAAATATATTGTAAGGTTTGCCATGTTTTGAATGTTATCCCCTATTTCCTTATATATAAGTTTACAATATCGCTGTTTGTTATTTCTTTTAAAAATAGAATCCAGGCATGCTTGAGGAATTTTTCAAAGTAATTTGTTGTCCTTTTCGCTGAAATTTAAATGAAAGAACGCTTTATAATGTAAGCACTGCACTACAAGTATAATAATATTGGATGACGGGCTTTTCCAAACTCTCAGCCGTAAAAATCAATCGAAAGTAGTAACCCGGAAGTTTTACGACGAATTTTAATTATAGCGCCATCTGTGTTTAACGTTACACGGTCTTGAGCGATATTAGAAATTTTTTAAATGCAAAAATAGTCTGCCAGAAACGGTCCACAAAAGTATCATAAAGCTACAAGCTAAATTTACATCACTCTTAAAGAAAGCAACGGAAGTGTTAGTCATCTGTCACTCATTTGTTTTGTTCGTCATCTTTTGTTGGTTTCGCAAATAGGAGACATTAGAAATATAATTAGCTCATCGCCAATTTTAGTGTACAACGTGATTTCATTTTAAACAACAAAGTAAGATTTTCTTATTTTAATTAATATAATTTAATTGTTATATTATTAACAAAATTCAAAAGTTGTATAGGTTTATTAAAAAAAATATCAGGGAATTTCACCTGAGTGTGAAACTTATATTTGTTCAAAAGTGTGCGAAATTTCAATGTGTGTATTTCTTATATATTTCAAACTCTACGTATGTTTCAAGAGCATAATGGTAGAAACCCTTAAGTGTCATTTTTAAAATGGTTATGCTTTACTTCATTCTGCCGATTTCTTCGGATTTAAACGCGGTTTTCCATGGAAAACAATGTGAGCACCTTAATGCTGTCTTTTGTTTTAAATTGTGGCATTATTTTGTTTCTCTGAGCAATCAACTACTTTTATTAAGTCAGCTGTAATAAAATGAAATTTCAAAAAATTTTCCTTATTATATTCGATTTACACTTGTATTACAAGGTTTTAAACTAGACATAATGTCTTTAGCCATAGCCGGGATCTTACGAAATCAGAGCTCAAAATGAATTAGATCAACTGTTATAAATTCAAGGAAACGGTATGTTACGGTGGTAATGAAATGATCCGATTAATACTAAATAGCTCAAAGTTTTACCAAAACAAGGAAGTTATCCCTAACACAGAGGATAAGAATTGTAATGGAATGTCTTCGAATGATCCTCAGGGATGATTTCCTGACAGCCGTCAATGACTTGTTGTCTACTACTACGACTCATTGCTTTTTTTCTTTCAATGGTACTACAAAGATAAATTTCAAAAAATTTATATATGTATAGCTTGAATTAATTTTTTTCATTTGTTTTTTTTACAGAATGGCATATGGTGCTCAACCCTCCGATCAATATCTATGGGATATTTTTTTAAGGTATGTTAATTTTTAATAATATGTATATTGCTTTAATTCTAGATGCAATATATTTTATTGAAATCTCAGAAAAATCATTTCTTTTACTTCAGTTGACTTAATATTTTTTTGTAACTCATAGGTTCTACATTTTACATACATACTTTTCTTTGTGTGAAAAAAATAAAAATTATATGTTTGAGCATTTTTTATTTTTAAGAAAATAAGGGGGTTGTCCTCTGTGAGCAAATTTACTGAACCCAGTAACTGAAATTATGCTGCAAATATTATGCAAGCTATCATGTTTTTTTGCTTGGATGCATCTATTAATTTTTTTATTTTCAACCTGGTTGGATAGTTGTTTTGAAGGTGTAAAGTATTTATCAAAATAGCATTTACTCATATATATTTATACAGGAGTCTCTCCAGGACAAATTTACTACCGTTTAGCGAAACCTTTACAAATTCAACTTTAGGAAAAACGGAAGTTTCGCATAATACTTTTTCTTGAAATTTTATTTTTGTATCCTGTAAAAAACTATAAACCATATTTTTACCACATTTTTGCATTGATTTTTTAAAATGATTTTAATTTTCACAAATTATATCTAAATTTTCACTAAATAGGTACCTCACAGAAAAACCTAGACAAACCTAATAATTTTAAGTTTTTTACTTAACCAAGTGAGAGAACCTGAGTAATCTTTTGACCTCTGAGTATTTTTTTATGGATCTAATTAAAATTTCCCTTTTGCATGTGACGTAAAAGATATGGGAGAAAAGTTGTGAAGCCTTTCCTTAATATTAAATAGCGAAACAGATCAATTTTAGTCTAATTTTATACTCACCCAATATTTATATGTCTAAATAAAGGACATCCACCTTTCACCCGTATGCTTGCATTATTACACTCCTTGCTTGGCCAGACCGTCTTTATATATACAGTGTTTTCTTTACAGAAAAAAAATGGGAGAGAATTTCACACCCTTTCTCAAAAACAGGGTGAGATTTCAAAAAGTCAAGTACGATTTCTAAAAATTAAAAAAACACGAATAGACTTGGAAAAAAATATTTCTTTCATTATACAGTACAGAACCCGTTATCCGGAAATCAGTAAACCGGAAAAACAAAAAACCTAAACGAAATTCAGTAAATTTTCTCGCCATTTTTTAAAAAAAAAATTTTTTTTTTCCTCGTAAGATTTTAGGATTTTTCTTTCTTTTTTGAAAGATGTTTACCTTACCATCATTTTGGAAATAATCATTAGTGTATTACTTCGTTTTTTCAAGATTATTTCCAAATATTTTTTTTTTTTTTTAGTTGGGTTTAACAATAAGAAAAAAAACGGCTTTTTGTAGCGATTCACAAAACCGGAAAAATCAGTTAACCGGAATAGCGATCTTTCCATATAAATGGTTCCCTACTATAAAACATTTTAAACATCTTCTTATTTTTAAAGCATTGAATATTTTTGCTGCATTATCTTAAGGAAGAGGTTATATATCTACTTTTTCATCAGCTATTCTTATTAGGTTGCTCAAATGCTTATCAGTCAATCTGTTACGATATTTTGTCTTAATACGGTTTTGGATGCTAAATGACCTTACAACAGATGCTGAACTATTCGGAATCACTAAGTAAATTTGTAGCATTTTGCACACACTTTCCTAACCTCTACATCCGCCAGCATAGGCTTTTCAATTATTTCTGCTATAGAATAATGAAGTTCGTTGAAGTTATTTCCATGTTCATACTTCATGCTAGCAGTATAGTTTTCACAGCCTTCAACTTTTACAAATTGCTGTAAATTGTCGATGAGGGAGTTTGGTAATTCGTTAACAGCTCAAAATAGAGCTGATTTTATATAACTTATTATAAAGGACTCATTTTCTTTCTCAACTGATTTGTCCCGCAGTGGACTAATCGTTAAGACACGGTTCCCAGCAGATCACCGAAGTCAAGCATCACTGGCTGCAGTCAGTGTGCGGGTGGGTGACGACTTGGATCAGTCTGCATAGGGACCGAGGATGTGCGGTATTGGTCCTCGTTAAACTGTGCTACCGTAAAGTGCTCGACTTCGCGCGCAGGTCGTCGGGCTACCGAAACGGGGGTGCCATCCCCTCCGCAGAGGATCAAAATTGTGATGGCATGTCTTCGGATCATCCTCCAGGATGTTTCCCAGACCGTCGCCAATAGCCCATTGTGCAGTTCTAGTGCAACATAAATCAACAACAATTCTCAACTGATTTTTTATTTATTTAAAAAATATCCATATTTGTTTTGTTTTGACCGTTTCTATCGACATTTGTTTAATTTTCATTTGTCTGTTACGGACTAGAAAATGTTGCCTTAGCAAGGTATTTGTCCATCTTACATTGTACAAAAATACAAATACATTGCATAAAAAAATTAAACGTCTTACATGAAGAAACCTTTCCTATGGGGAACACGTGATTGTAGAGAAATGTGTTTTGAAAGGGGTTCCGTGGTTTGGGGGGGGAGGTGTTCCGCTGTTTGCACCGGTTCTAAATCTGAGCAATACTGGTAAATAGGAAAGCTAGATAAGAAGGACCAATGTTGAAAATAAGGAGAGATCAAGGAAGAAAAGTGAAATGGATTTTATTTAAAATGGCAGAAGTCGATATTTTTTTTCCAAAATTCACGAGATTCGCCATTTTGAAATTGATTAATAGAGTGCGAGAACTTCTCGCATTAATTATTTTTTAATGCGAGAAAGGAAAAAAAATTTCGAGATTCTCACGTTCTCGCGCTGTCGTTAAAACACTGATATATACAGTATACTCTCAATATCTTGAAAACCTTGTAATGTATTAAAAAAAAAAATTTTTTGAAATAGAAAATGAATTTCTTCAGAAAAATAAAAATGTAAGTTTTTTGTAAACTAATTTTTTTTCTATTTAATGCATATTTATTTTTGCCTTACTTTTGAAAATAAAATTATCATTCTTATATTTAGACTTATAGTCAACTATCATTGCGTAAATATTTATTAGTAATTATTCTTATGTTTCATGACTCTATTTTTTTAGAACATATTTAGTTCTGAATTTTTTATCTTGAAATTTTTTTAGTGTCCCGTCAACTTTGAGATATTGAGAGTACACTGTATATATGTTTTTGATAATCATCCATATTGTATAAGTTTCATATTTTAGCTAACAAAAAATATTACCTTTTTTTTTATTTATCGATGAAAGCAACCTAATTGGTACTATCATGATTTTTTAAAAATAGTCATGGAAAGAACAAATCTGTTCCATGGTATCTTCATGCATGCTTGCAATTGTAGCTTCTTGCAATAAATGTTACACCTATTTTTATTTTATTATTTGCTTTGTTTGATCTTTAAAAATGTTAAAAGAATATTTCATCTTAGTTAAGAATGGATTAAATGTATAGGTTTGCTTTTTAGTAATTTTCACTTTTTAAGATCTAAATTTCACATATTGTTATGTGCCCATATAATACAGTCATGATTTAACTTTTCAAAAATTGTGATGATTAACTTTTTAACAGCTGAAAATTTTCTTGCTATTGAAATGTTGTGCTCGACACAGGGCACATTTGCTGGAGTTGGACAAAATAGTAATAAATAACAACTTATTTTATTTTACAAAAGAACCTTAATGAAAGTTTAACTTAAACTCTTAGTAAAACTCTAATTAAAAAATACTTCTAATTAAATAAAAAATACTCTAATTAAAAAAGCAAAACACGTTTGATCCATACTTAATTATCTTTCTAATTTGATTGTTTAAGTTGTTCTGCTCTCTGTGCCAAAATTAGTCACATTTGGAGAAATCATAAAAAACATCATTTAACGTTATGGAGGGCTTGAAGTTTAATGGTTTTCTGTTGGTTCAGGACCACTAAACTTTACTTTGGACCACCATGAAACAATCATCAGTCAATCCAGCAATCAATGTATGCTGTTTTTGTTTGCTTATTGTGTTTGGCCTGCATTTTATTCTAAAAAAATATTGCACATTTACTGTATTCTAATTTTCCATTTAGGTTCATTATATTAATGTCTTTAAAAAAAATTAATAGAGACGTGTAAATAATAATGATATAAATATGTAAACAGTGAAAATGGGTACAGATCATTATCATTTATTTACTAGTCTTTCAGACCAGAGAAGAAATTTTCTTAAAATTAACTCCTGTTGTGCATTCTGTGCTTGTAAACAACCTGTATTTTGTTTAGAAGTTAATCTACTAGGTTTTGTAGGGGTATGTTTATAGATGTAAAATTGATAGCATATATTGATAATAATTAAATTTATAATCAAATAAGTAGATTAGTCAAGTAAGTAAAATACATTAGTATACATGAGTTGCTGTAAATTCTAGCCACTCATATTACTTTTTTCAAATTATCGGAGCTAGCCATACGCCTTGGGAATATCTATAGTTTGTCTCCCCACCACTACATCTGATAGCATCTACAGCTGTGGAAACAAGAATAGCACATTTCAGGGAGGGTAGCTTCTTTTCACTCTAGGGCTAACGCACTAAACTGGGCGAAAAAAAGATTCCCTTTCTCTCGTTGACTCGAGCATCAGCCAAAACCTGTCCTAAAAAAATGACCCCGCACCCCTACTTGAAATAGTTATACCCCATTACCATACTCACCGCCACGGGTCCAGGCGAATGGTTAGGGGAGTATTCACTTTAGACAAACTATAGGTTTCCTGTTCGGGCAAGGAGTTCATATTATTTTATCTCTATTGTACGAGATTTCGTAGAAGTCCAGGATAGTCTGGTTCGTAGGGTAATGGGCCCATGCCCAAGAGGTCATGGATTCAATCCCCTCAGGCTGAAAACTCCCCGTGTAGTAAATGGTGACTGGTGCACGTTAAATCTGTAGAATCACAAAGTCCTCCATGTTCCCATAACAATTCATACCTCTTGGGGGTACTGATTCAGGAGTTCTCTTGTCTTCTGGATTGGTGCAAAATTACATAGCTACGGAGTTGAACATTAGTAGTTGTATACCCAAAATCAGGTCCGCTGTTCAATGATAGTTATGCAAAACCTGACATAAAAATTGAATTTTATTTAAGTAATTTATATGTCAATTTATTTAATTCAACAATTTAATTTAAACTTTTTCTAATCTTAATTTATGTCATTTGAGTTCTTGTTATTTTTGTTTGCTGGTGAAACTTTAAATTTAGATTTAATTAATATATTAATGCTGATATCAATTGAGTTCTGTTTTGGATATTATTAAGATGAATTCTTTTATATTCGAGTGATTGTTTGATGATTTATATTTTAATTTTTCTTTAAAATAAATATTTGACAAAGGAATAATTTATGAATTAATTGGGAATATTTCCGTATTGTAATCTGTGGCAGAATTATCGCTAATCCTTGGCAACTTTGGGCAGCGACCTGTGAGTGACTAAAAAGAGAAACTTCACAAAAAGGGACAACTTAAAAGTTATAACTCGAAGCCAAACCCGAGCAAACATCTAAATTTTTTTTTTTAATTTGCAAGTTTAAATTACCATTATTGACGTTGAAGATTTGTGTGAACTGGTTCATTTACAATCCAAAATATTACAGATATATAATTATGAAAGATTTCAAATTAACATATGTTTAATATAATACACTTTAATTTAAATTTTGGCATAAAATTTTTTATTTATGATGGTTTAAGGATTTAGTAATTAAATTATTTATTAATTATAAAATTTAATTTTAAGACAGAAGTTTTAACCAATATTTAATCTCTCAATATTCAGATCTAATATTGTAAATTTACTATTTTAGTTTTAAAAAAATTATTTTTCATCTAAAATTTAATAAATATACGTGACTAATAAAGCCATTTGTTTATATTTACCTTGTGTATTATTTTTATTACTCTTTTCAACGACCAGTTCTGGATCTTTCGAACAGGAAGGGTGAGTAATCAATTTTATTATTTATCAAGAATAATGATATGTCAGCAATCCTGCATATCATTATCGTTGCACGTCAGCACATTATCAAGCACTCTGATGCATATTTCCTGTTACTATTTCAGTACATTAATTTTAAATTATGCTTGGAAAAGTCAATCATTTGGCAGGACTCAGGGTCAGGTAGAACCTGGATTTCTCAGGAAATTTTATTTTAACTCTTAAAAACAGGGAATAGTGAGGAAAAATTACGGCAATTTTTACAGAAAAAGTTTTTACAAACATTTTTTAAAATTCCTATATTATACCTGGATAATAACCAATCTTAGAATTGTCAGTAACAGTAATCAAATATTGAGATTCAAGTTAAATAATTCTGATGCCTATTACAATTATTTTGACGCCCGGTGGCTGAGTGGTAGCGCTTCATGCTGTCCGGCAGTACCACGGGTCTTGGGTTCGATCCTCGGGCCGGGCAAGGTTGACTTGGCCTTTCATCCCTTCAGTGGGCCGATAAATTAGTACCAAGCATGCTTGGGAGCTAAGCACTGAGGGTTTCACGTTCTGCTGACCTGCTAACCGGAACATCTGCTCTTGCACCCCAGAGCCCAAGGTCAAGAAAACTGAGATGGGCACAGTAGGCCTTGGCCCTCTATGGGCTCTCGGGCCACTGAGTTTAGTTTGTTACAATTATTTTATAAAATTCCACTTTTTAGAGAAACTTTTCCATCTTCCATTCTCATTCTTTTTTATGTTTTTGCTCTCAAAATCTAATATTTGACATTCCCACAAAAAAATCAGTTTTCTGATGAAATATTGCATGGTGTAGATAAAATATGGTATGGATTTCTATTAAAATTTACGTGATATGTATGGAAAACTCAGGTAATTTTTTTATTTAAATTGATTGGTAACCATGTTTTGTAAATTCCTATAATTGATTAATTCAGTCATTCTCTGTGGTAGATTGGTGTGTTGGTTATCACATACAACAACGTATTAACGCATATAAACACTAGCAACTGCGTGCATTTTTAAGTATTGATGGGAAGCTATTTTCCCGCCTATGATTCTCGTTGCCATCTTCTGATAGCTTCAGAAAATACAAAAATAATAAAGGGCTTTGTTTTCATAAACGTGCATAGGAAACGATTACAATTAACAGTAAAGGTTAGTGTGGGGTTAAAAAGAGAGGCCAAGTCTGGGAAGCTCTTTTTTCTTATGCGTTGCACGTTGATTCATTTGATCATTTCTCGTTGACTTTATTTATAATTATAAGTACAGAATTTATCTGTTAAATAAATTCTTTAAAAAATGAATAAATTATTGTTTATAAACACAGTTCAAGTTTATGGTCAATTCTTGACAGTAGATACAATTTTGAAAATCCTACCCATCTAACAAGCAAAAAGTTTAAAAAAATCAAATTAATATTAGGTAATAGGCTTATTAATTTTCTTTTAATAAATCAATCTCTGTCTCAAAAATACTTTTACATACTACTGCTAGAAAAAAAATGGCCCTGTTAAGGGTTAAATTATGATTTTTGTGATTTCTCTATGGATGACTAATTTTTTGTCTGGTGAGCTTATTATGCAACTTAACATAAACTTAATTGTTTTTTTTTTACCTAATGTTAGAGTGGACCGTGATAGGAGTGGAAGCATAACAGTAAATGAATTGCAAGCAGCTCTTTCAAATGGTGAAATATCATTTATTATATATAAATATTTGTAGATCTTAAATTGATTTTTATATTCTTATAAGATTTTAAATTTTTCAGGAACTTGGCAGCCATTCAATCCTGAAACAGTTCGAATGATGATAGGTACAGTAACATCAATCAATCAATCTTTTTAAGGTCATATAATGGTATAAATGTTTTTATTGAAAGAAAAAGTCATGTGTAGCTGTCGTTGAATCGCTTTAAGTTTTATTGTCGTCTCCACTAGAATTTTTTTTCTTCTCAGCTTAATCATAATTCTCTTAAATGCTTACAAATCACTTAAAAGAAAATATTACATTTTTTTTACATAAATTTATAATTAAATGTAGGAAAACATTTTAAATAATAATAAATTTATATTTAATTAATAAATATTTAATTAATATTTTTTTAAAGAAAATCTATTGTATCTGAAAATTTGAAGAAATATTAAGAATTTTCATAGAAGTTTTTACTTTTTAATCGCAAAATCAATTTTGTGTCACTTATATTTCTATATTTACCTTGAGTAAGACCACGTTTTATAAACAGATACTAAATAATAATTTAAAACTGAAACTCTTGTTTTTGTTATTTTAAAATATGTTTTGTGTATAGGAACAGTTATTACAAAAAGGGATCGTAAGGATGCTATACCCCTATTTTTCATTTTAAAATATATTTTTTTACTTAACTAAACCATTAATCCAATAATAATTTTAAAACGCTATAGATTTTGTTTGTTTTACATATTAAAACATAATTTTTATATTTATTCTGAATTACTTTAGGCTACTAAAAGCAACTATTTTGTTCCTTTTTTTCTGTGGCAACCCAGTGACTTCTCTAAATTTGTTTCTCTTTTAGGCATGTTTGATAGAGATAATTCTGGAACAATAAATTTTGAAGAGTTTAAAGCTCTGTGGAAGTACATAACTGACTGGTTGAATTGTTTTCGCAGTTTTGATACTGACCGTTCTGGAAATATAGACAGAAATGAATTAAAAAGTGCTTTAACAAGTTTTGGTAAGTTTTTTTTTTCCCCAATCGCATATCTGTTTGGAATCTTTCTTCTTAAAAAATCTCTTTTAAATTGTTTACTTTTGATAAATTGTGCTATGGAAGAACAAAAATAAATTTTTTTATCATTGAGTATCAGTTAGAATGAATTGAATAAATATAAATTACAAATATTTAAATGCTTGTCATTTTTTGTCTCGATAATTTTTTTAACTTGAATTTTAACTAATTATTGTAAATGATTTTAGCATAGTTACTTACTCAACTTGATTAGTTTTTCAATTTAATTTTTTTATTTAATTTTTATGTATATGTTTATACTTATTTCTGAAAAGTTTTACATGATGCGATTTTTATTTAACATTAATGGATTTGTAAAGAAATATCTTTAAATTGACCAGGTAATGAATTTATTTATTTATTATTATTATTTTTTTGAGAAACACTGAATTTTTCAAATTAAAACTAAAATTTTTAAGTTTGTAAAAAAATTTTGTTTAAAAATTTAAAATTTTGATCGTTTCTGCAAAATAAATTTTTAAAAATGAGAAGAAAAAAACATTTTTGCCCCTGTATTAGCAGCGTAGAGGGAAAATTATTCTGTGAGTCCTGAATTACATTGCTCCTTTTCCTCAAAGCATGTCTTTATACTTTTAATAAATTTTTACTACTTCTTATTATTACTTTTAGCAAAAGCTTTAATTATTTAAATATACTAGAATAATCAATCCTAATTTATAATTTAAATAATTAATACTCATTTCTTGCTTAGATTCATTTCTTGTCTTTGTTTTGCCTATCAATTGATTGAATTGTCATAAATTTGTAATGAGAATAGATAGGTAAAGACATAAAGAATTTATTATTGACAGAATATCTTTTATTTAAAAAAAATCCTAGAGAATTTTAAAGCAGATTCATCAAATTTGGTACAAGTAAAATTTTTCATTTTCAATTCTATAAGCCATGGTGGTTCAGAGGATAGGGTGCTCTCTTCCCAATGAGGCAATAGCTGATTGATTCGGATTCCGCACCTGGCTCGCATCAACGGCACTGCTGATGTAAAATATTCTCAGTTCTAGACGGATCATGGATTAGAGTCCCCTTGCCGTCAGGATAACTGTGGAAGGTTTTTGTGGTTTTCCTCTTCATGTAACTCAAATTCGGGTTAGTTCCATCAAAAATTCCTCCACAAAGTAATTTTCTACCAATACTTGATCCAGGAGTTCCCTTGTCTTTGGCATTTGGTTCAAAATTACAAGGCTATGGAGTTAAAAATTCGACGCGGTAAACCCTAAGTTTCGTTGACTGTTCAACGACGGTAATATAATTTTCATTACTTACTCCATCTAATGCTAGTTGGTATAATCCAATTAGAACGAAAGTTATTAAGGATTAAGTAAAAGTTATCTTTTTTTTTTGCTCTTTGAATATTAATTAACTTTGAAGAAGGTAATCTTAATGTAAACTTTTTAGGCCAGAACTAGTAATATTTTTTTGGTCTTAATTCTTTATTAAATTATTACTCAACTATTAACTATTTGCCTTTTTATTAAATTTTTTTCTTATTAAAAATTTACTTTTCATGCCCAACTAAGGATTTATATTATTTTTAATTAAGAAAATATGATTCATAGATTTAAAAGTTACAAGGACTCATTCAAAATCTAGTGAAAACTCTAATTGTATTCAGTGTTATGGAATCTGCAGACAGTGCTGATGTTGCAAAAAATTATCTAAAATAAAAAAAGTTACTGATAATTGCTTACAAGAAATAAAATATTAGTGTATATATGTTTGTTTTGTTCTTTTATAGGTTACCGATTATCAGATACCTTTGTAGATTTATTAGTACAAAAGTTTAATCGTGATGGTACAATGACTATTAAGTTTGACGATTTTATTCAATGCTGTGTCTTATTGCAAGTAAGCTCGCTTTCAGTCTTTATGTTTTATTGCAAGTAAAGATATGCTTTTATCCATTTTTTAGTAGGGTGGCTGTGAAATAAGGAAAAGTCAGGGAACTTTATTAATTTGGAAATGCTAGGAAATTTATTTAAAATACCCAAAAAAGTAAGGAAAATGAATTAATTTGAGATACCCAAAAGTCTTGTTTTTTCCAAAAAAAACTTCTTATTGTAATTATAATTTTTTTAAATATTGTTTTATTTTCATCTGCAATAGCAAGTGTAAACATTCTATAGTTTATTGTTTGTATAAGAACATGACATAACTGAAAAATTTATAATAAAATTTATGTCACCCTTACAAAAACCAGGGAACTTTGTCAAAATCAGGAAAAAGTTGGGGAATTGTTTTTTTTTTTAAGTGCTTTTGGCCTACCTGTATAAATCTGTCTATAATCTATCAATACTGTGTCTGATTTAAAGTATTTTCACATGAATATCTGCTTTAATTCCGTTTTATAAATGCATTAATAATGAATCAAGCTTGAATGGTATTGTGACTCTGAACTGTCATTGTTTGAGACTAGGTGTTTAATGCTGAATGGCTGGTAAGTTTTAAATCAATATGTACCAGATTGTCCTGAAATAAAGGCAGCTAAAGTCAAAATTGACCTCTGGGATCATGTTACGGTACTATGTATCTCATTTAAATTAGCTTCGGTAAAAATTTTACTTTATTTTATTTTATGAATGTTGTACATCACACATTTTCCCTCTCTATTTTTTTTATTGTTGTATGTTTATATATTTTTAGTTTAATTTTTATGTTTAATGTAATGATATTTTTAAATGTATGGCTGTTTCTCTATGTGGGCTCTTAGCTTATCTTCTCATTTGGACATCTTCTAAAAGTCAGCACTGCACCTTTTGAGAAAATTCCAAAGTACTTTTGCCATAAATACAGGCTTGCATATGATTTAGGGAGATACAGATACATACCAAGAATAACATGCTTAGTTCATTATATTTTATGAATACTTGATTTTGCATCTTATGATTTTATAACTGTTGATTCCCCCATGGCTAGCTGTCAGCATTTCATGCTTCCATGCCACATGTCCAGTGTTCTATCATTGGCTAACTCAGCCTTTTATCCTTGAATGGGACGGTAAAATTAGTACAAATCATGCATGCAGTTAAGACTAGGGGTTCCGCAGTCAACTGATCACCATATCGGAACATCTGGCCCTTCATGGGCTGTGGGGCCATTGGGTTTTGTTTAATTCTAGATTTTATAACTGAAATTTCTATAAACTGAACTGAATTCTAACTACAGAAATTTCTCTAGATTTTATAACTGATATTTCTTTTGCATTTATGATCAATTAATTGCTGAAGTGTACAAATGACAAATTTTCTCCGTGCGGACAAAGATTTGCTAAGCAAGAAAATAGTGCAGTGTCACAAGTACAGGAACTATTCAAACAGGCTGTAAAGTTTTTTTTTAGTGGTTTAGAGGTGCTTTCTTAGAGCAAAGCTAAGGAAAAGAGAACTATTGTAAATGTTACAGGACTAATATATGAAAGAGTTTTTAATATATATCATCAATTAAATTTCTGGCAGTTATAAGTAGTTCTGGTGTTATCCTCTAAATTTATGTAACTAACACTATCGTATGATTGAAATGAAAAATACTCCCTGTTTAAATTCTTAATTCACCTAACTTTCTAACTCAATAAATTTAATTTTATTTGCATTATCTAAAGCATCAGTCACTACTTTGTACTGGGAGGGAATTTCCCCTAAGGATATTGTCTTTGTTTCAAAAGAGTAATGAAGTCAATCTGATTTCATATGTTTCCTGTTGTATAGCCTTTTTCAATTTTTGAAAATTAATTTAGGCAATGGTCTCAACGTCCTATAGAAATTAAAAAGTGGCAGCCAATTTAGTTTAAGCTAACAAACAAAAGTTTTAAATCAATTTTTAGATAACAAAATATTTATTTTTGACATTTCACTCTATTTTAAAACAACAGTGTTTGCTGTTTTAGAACTAAATACAGTAAAAAAATCTATAATTCACAATTCTCCTTAGACTACTTTAACTTTGTGGTGTAAACAATGAAAATTGCAGTTAAGAAATTTCTGTAACTAACCAAGAACTATTATTTTTTTTTACATTCTTAATTATTTGCTCTTAAAAGGCTTAGAATGTCAAAAGCAAAGCAAAGCAAATCAAAATTGATAAAATTTTTTGGTTTTTGTTTTAATGGACCAGAAAATTTAAATTTTTTTCAGTAAATAATAAATACTTAAGTGCATGCTTGTGTTTTTAAGTATTTGTATTTAAAAATTAAAGTGTTTTAAGCTTCACCTGTTCCAGACTAAAATTGCTATATTTATTAGGTAAATTTAAACGTATGTGAAATATTCTAAAAATAAAAAAAAATCTGCAAAACACAAAGCCTCATGTTTCATTTTAAAGATCTTCTACTGTATTATTTAAATTGTTCAAATGTAGCAATGTATGAAAAAGTTCTCAGAAGTCTCCTACTGTTATTTTATTTTCAATAGAATGCTGCAACTAATGTTTAGGGAATAATTTCTTGAGTTCTTTGATGAAGAGTCAAACATAGTACAAATCCTACTTGTAGTTTGTGAGTTGAAGAAAAGTTGTTGAAATAGTTTTATAAATTGATTTTTTTTTATGTGCATCATTTTATGCATTTTTTATATGCATAAAATCACTAAAATTGAGTTGCATCCTTTAAAAAGTAAGCTTTAATTCTATTTTATAAATGTATCAGAAATACATAGCTGCCAACTCTACTAGATTTTGCCAATTTCTCATGGTCTACTGGTTTAATTAAAATCCTCCTGGTTTTTGTACTTTTTAGAAAATTCACTAAAATTGAGTAAATTCACTAAAGTTGAGTTTCCAAAAAAAATTCCCCATTAAAATAGAATTTTTTGCATGGATTGTTGCTTTGCTTGAATATTTAAGTAAATATTACTAATATATAATGAAGCAAGCCTCATTTATAGAAATCAGTTTAAAACTATTTCTGTTCTAAAAAGTTCAGTTTATTTTCATTCAGAACTCTCTTTTTAACCTAATTAAAAAATATTTTTACTAATGATGAATAAAATATCTATTAACTACCATTCAAAACAGTAATTCATAACATTTCAAGCATATTTAATGGCAATCATAATTGAAAATTGTTAGTTTTTCTATTTTAATGACTATAAAAATCCCTAAAATACCCTATGTGTAAAATATTTAGTACATAATGCAACAATTATCATGAAATTTATATTTCGTAAAATCTACTGAAAATGTTGCCAGCTATTGAAATATGATTTTTATTTATTATTTTTTCAGACTTTGACTGCTGCCTTCAGGTTCCATGACACCGATTTGGACGGATGGATAAGAATTTCTTATGAAGAGTTTCTAACGCTCGTCTTTAGTCTCAGAATGTAACAAAAGCAAGGTATTATTCATTCACTGTTTTCTGCTTATTATTATTGTAACCATTGTTGATTATTCCATGAAATGATTGTATATTTCAACCTTTTCAATATCCAGCAAAATTTTGAAGTTTTGCTTTGGGATTAAATATTGAATTCAACACATTTGAATAGTATTTGTTTTGTATATAAGCGTATATGTTCTTAATTATATACAACACTCTTTAAATTTAACTTAGAACAAAACTTTTATCATACAAACTGCCGACAAATACAAAACGATATCTAACTAGTGTTGCCAAACAAGAAAGATAAAGGAAGTAAATTAAATAAATAAACTATTAATGCATGTTATGCACTTGCATCCGGAACATCCTCCTCACGCTGGTCAATATCTCCTTGCCATCAGAATGTAAAGTACATGTTTGAATTTTTCCATTGCATCCTTTAATTAGTACAGTAACCACTGCTCGTTTCCACACACGTCTTGGTCTTTTATCTTCGTGAAGCAACATCGCCAACACGAACATGAGATGACTTTTTAATGTTACGAACTTGATGGAATGACATCCTTTAAACCTGACTTGGAACAAAACTTTTATTATGAAACTGTCAACAAATACAAAATGATATCTAAATGGTGTTGCCAAGAAAAGAAAGATAAAAGAAGTAAATTAAATAAACTAAACATATTAATACTGGTTTTACACTTGCATCCGGAGCAGTGTTAATTCAGTTTAAGGCATGTAATTCTTCTCCGGATCTTCAATTGTGTTTTTTTTTTCTTTATGTAAATTTCCTCATTTTTTTTTCTAATTGTTTTTTTTTTTTATTTTATATAATTCTGAACAAACTTCTAGTTTTTGGTTAATTTCTTTTTTAATTGTTACTTTGTTGCTTATATACCTAGATACTTAAAACATTTTTCAAATGCAATATTTTCTTAACTAACTTTCTGCTATATTAGTCATATTATAAATTAATCCTTTTGTTAAAAAACAGGATTGCCATTTTGTCTGGAAGAAAATCTCTTGCTCCCAAGATATTAAAAAAGTAAAAGAAACTGGACAAAATGGAAGAAATTTAAAATGATCAGTATATTTAGTATTATATTATACATAGTGCGTAGCGTTTTTAAAAAGAGCTTAAAGGTGCTTATTTTCGATTTTAGTTTTTTCAAAGCCCTTAAAGGAGCTTTATACATTGGATGTTTTTAAAAAGTGCTTAATTTTCCCTTTTCGAAAATGACATTTTCTTCTTTACCCTGTTGTTTTTCACCTGTTGTTTTCATGCATTATGCAAAAGCGTGCTTTTCACATTGTTCGATATTTTCCCAATTCATTCAACCATAATCTATTTTGGCTTAACGTCGGTTTATAGCGTATGAAAGTGCCAATCATTTTACAAGAACCGCGATGGGTCAGGTGATGGAGCATTTGCCTTCCAATGGAGCGAACCGGGTTAGAATCCCAGTCAATAAGAATTCCGCATCCGGCTTGCTTCGACGACAGTGCTGACGTGAAATATCTTCAGTGGTAAACGGATCATGGGTTAGGGTCTCCTTGCCATCAGGCTAACCGTGGGAGGTTCTCGTGGTCTTCCTCTCCATGTAACGCAATTGCGGGTTAGTTCCATCAAAAAGTCCTCCACGAAGGCGCATTGCTCTCAATAATGCATTCCAGGAGTTCCCTTGTCTTCTGGATTGGGTTAAGAATTGCAAGGCTACGGAGTTGAACAACATTAGTAGTCATAAACCCATTAAATGGGTTTGGCTGTTCAACAACCATTTTGCATGTTTGATGAAATACTTAGGAGTAAGCATGTGCGTCTACTGAGCTGGGGTTTTCTTAGGTTTTTTTTTACAAACTGAGAAGATGCATGGAATTTTGTTCACTCAAAGTGCAATCTATGAGATATTTAAGAATATTTCAGCTATACTAAACTATTTAGTTTACTTATAGTATTATTTAAGTATGTTCATCTGTTCCTTTTTTTCTATCTAAATGTCCATCAATTAAAGCTGATAAATATAGTTAGCTCAATATAGCTCACGCAAGAACACAGTGATTATGTTTCTCCTCTTAATATATTGTGTATAATATGTAAAAGGAAAACACAGGTAATTTTGAGTTTTTTTTTTACAAACTGGGATAATACAAGGAATTTCGATACTTATTTTCGTCTTTTAAGAACTGGTAACTACTCTAAGTGCAATCTATGGGATATTTAAGGATTATATTTCAGCTATCTTAAACTAGTTCACTTACTATAGCATTATTTGTTATAAGTATATTCAGCTGTTCCTTTTTTACTGAAGTTTTTTCAGCAATTATAACTAGTTTAGTTAGCCAGTAGAGTAGTTTTAATGTGTGTTCGAGGGGGTTATCTCCTTTTAATGCATATATTTTATAATAATATTGTATTATATGTTACTGTTAAAGTGTACAATTGAATTATTTCATACAATAACTAGGTATTTCATGAAATAACTCGACAATTCAGTTAAAGTATATATCAGATAAAAAAAATTTCATACTTTATCTAGTTATTCTGTGAAATAACTGATGATTGGCCGTTAAAATGAAAAATGAACTATTTCAAAGTTATTTTATGAATTTATTAATTATAAATAGCTAACATCTGTACAAAAATACATTTTATCCCTATTGTGGATGAGTAATTGATAAATAATAAGGAAAAACAGATGATATAATTTATTATTGCTCGTATTAATAGCTACGTCTAAAAGTGACAGAATGAAGCATATACACACAGGTCACTGCAAAGCAGCTATAAGCTATTCAAAAGAGCGGCTAGAACAAGTTCAAAAAACTTTGGAGTGAACGTCTTTCATACTTTAATGATCAAGTAATCGTTATTCTATAGAATACCAACTTAAATCGTAGAGTTCAATAATTTTATATAGAACTGGCTAGTTATTTAGTGGAATACTTAGTTATTCTATGAAATAAAGGATTTCACACTTGCCCACAGTTACCAACAGTAACCCACAGAAACAAACTTAAATTACAAAAAGTGAATAATGAAAACCGTTTTATATATACATCCTCCTTACCTTACAATAGCTCATTAATCTAATAATGTAGAATTTCGGAAGAGGTTTTGTCCCCCAAAACTATGACACTGTGTTAGCACAATAGAACTCATACAAGAGCATAGTGATTATGTTTTTTCTCTTAATATATTGTGTATAAATATGTACAGGAAATTTTTTTTCCAGATTTGAGTGGCAATCCCGTTGTGTGAAATTTACACTAATCTGTTCTGATTTATTTTTGTATGAAAAAATTCTATGCTAATGTTCTTTTTCAACTATTTTAGGAAAAATTCCATGTTATGCCTGTTGTCCGTCTTGGAGACATTGTCGTTCCCTTCTGTACAATTGTTATAAATGTTTATCAATATATGTATATATACTATATTGTTAACATTATTTGTGTACCATATTTTTTGTTGATTGTTTTGCCAAAGAAATATTTGGATATTTATAGAGGCTTTTATGATTGAAAATACAAGTAATCAAATGTACATAATTGAAAAATTTTATGAAAATGTGTTTAAGTTGAAACATTAATATTTACTATTAAAGCTGAATGTTTTTGAAATTTTTTATTAGTTTTTTGTGCAATTTTTATGCTTTATAGTTAAACAGTCATTATAAATGAGTAAAAATATATTTTTTTTTATTTCTGGGATTTCAAACTTTGCATCTTTGACTGAACTCTCTATTTAAACTTAATAGCAAAAAAATGTGGATGTTAATTGTAATTTTTACCCTTTCAATTTCTTAATTTCATTGTAAACTACCAAAACAATTTAATTTAAAATTACTGCTTGACGTGTACAAGTATCTTAAAAAGGCCTATTTTCAACTCTTTAAAAAAAATAGTACAAATTATGTTTTTTATAAAAAATTAACATTTCAATAAATTTATTTTGTTTAAATACTATTTAAAATCATTTGAATAAAACAGTTCCCTTAATTTTTTTATTTCAAAACTTGTTTACAAAAATACATAATTGTTCATAAGTTTTATTTTTAAAGCATTAATGAATTCTATAACAATTACAAATAAATAGATATTTTTAAAAGGGAAGCAATCAAGCTTAAAAAAAATTTTATTCATATTTTAACCTTTGCTATATATTTTTACTCACAAAAATTTTATCAACTCTCATTTGTATAAATAGTAGTGATTTTTTTAATCAAAATAAATTAAATTTAAAAAATAAGTTACTTGAAAATTTGTTTTTTATTGAATCTGTGAAAAAAAAATCCCTTTATTTATAAAAAAGTTTTTCTTTTAAATAAATGAAATGCAAATAAAGAGTCGTTTTGGTAAATTACTCTCCACAAAACTGTTTTCTTAAAGATAATTTTTAAGCTGTATTAACATTGAAGTAAATTTAAATGATTTTTGTGTTACTTTAACATGCTATTTATTAAAGATTTTCTGTGTACAAATACAGTCCTTTTTCTTGGTGCTCAGTTATAGCTCAAATCCTTTTGTTTTTTGAAAATAATGTTATCATTATTGTGAAAATTATGTTAGTATTAGCTTAGATAAACTGAACTGAAACAAATTTAATCCACTCTTTCTATACATATATTTAATTTTATCAAAATTATTTTTAAAACATGTTTGCACATGAATGCTCAATATACAAGTGGTACTGAAATGTAGCTACTAGATTTTCTTTCCTATCTGAGATGTTTTATATATTTTACTTTGCTTGTTCTAGTATTGAAAAATTTATATTTCGTTTTATTACAGATGATTGTGAGAATCCAGATGATGTTAATTGTAACTGTCATTTATTAATTACATTATTACTAATATTTTACGAATAGAATTTAGTAATTATTAACTATAGTAAAGGTTTATTTTTTATTTAAAAATAAACCCTAGTAGCAAAAGGATTTGATTTATCATTCTAGCTTTAATGGAATTGATTTAAAATTATTGTAACCACTTTCATTTATAAATAATGGGGAAAATCTGATGTTTCAAATTTTATGTGCTGGTGAAGGATGAAAGATGTATGCTTACAATTATCAATGTAATTGTTCTTTCACTACCACTAAAAAAATCCTGAGAAAATGCAAATGTTTGTTGCTATAAACAAGGTATCTGTGCACCTGGAAAGTCATGAATTTCGGTATTGAACAAAATGTGTCATAAATGTCACAATTTTAACTATTTTTTTAAAAAAAGTCATGGATTTAGGTCGCCGAAAAATCTAATTTTTAAAATGGAATCCCCCCCCCCTTCTCCAATTTCAAGGTGCTCCAAATATCTGAAGTTCTAACAAAATCCTCACTCACAGTCATATTTCCTTAAAATATAAAATGTTTTTATCGTGTTCTTTAAAAATTATGGTGTTCTTTCAAAAAATGAAAGAAAAAACATCTCTTCTAGAACAAATTATCATTTAAACTTCTGTGATTTCAGAATTTTTATTATTTATTTATTTATCAATTCAAAATTCTAGCTGAAGCAAGCCAGTCAATGGCGAAATTTTTTTTTAATTCCGAAATGAGAACAGAAAAAATCAGGAGTATTTCTTTCCTTTCCTATGAACAAGAAAAGTATCTTTAGAATGTAATTCTGATTCTGTAAATTTAAGGTACCTTTTTTTTATATTTCTATAAATTTACTTTGTATTCTAATAAGTACATTTGTAACAATTTATTTACATCAGTTACTTTTATTATTTGCTGAGAAAAAGATTTAATACACATTTGTAACTTATATTACTCCCTGCATTTTTACAATTCGCGATCGCAACACTCAAATACACCTTCTGGGGAGAAAACCGGTTAAATGCCTTTAACCCTTACCTCTCCTCCTCTTTTCAATTGTGTAGGAATGTACTACAATATTTTTTTCTTAATATTTTTCGTATTTAATTCTCAAAAATATTTTTTAAAACTTCCATAACGTTTTCTTTTAGAACTATGTTCAATGTAGTTTTCAGTTCCATATAGTTTCCTAACTTAAAAAGATTTTAATCTATTTGAAAATCAAGACAGAAACTAATGTACTTCCTGAGGGCCGAATTAAGATCCTCAGAGGCCCTAAGCACTTAAAAGATTTTGATGCTCCTTAAATGTAATTAAGAACATCAATACAAATACAAATTATTTTTCTTAAATAAAATTAAATTTACAAAAATAAATAAATTTATATAACGGCCAAATTAACCGCTTTTTGCAGAGGATCTGGTGGAAATCAAAATTTTTCAATTAATTCTTTGAAGGATTTTCAACGCTAAATACTAATTTTGCTATTTTAGAGCAAAGCTTAAATAATTTTTAAATTTTGGTGTTACTGAAAACTAACGAACTAACTAATGTACTACTAACTAACATATAAACTAACGTACTTCCTTCTTCTATGACACTCCACACGCTAATGGTGAAAGCATGCAAGGTGTTGCCATAAGTAGAGAGTCTGCTCTTCCCCACCTGCAGCCCATTTTTATCACCATTGCAGAAATATGTTAAAACTGGTTCTAAACATTTTATTTTGTGTCCCCAAAATGGTTATGTATCCTTAAACATTATTTCATTGGTACTTCGTTAATTGTCGTAACAAATTCTCATACGACATTTGCATTAATGTGCTTATTAATTAATTATGAATAATTGCCAATTGTTATTAATATTCATCACATTGACTGAAATATACATATTATCACAAAATTGCCAAACTTATACATATTTTTTTTATCACCTTACTATGCCTTATGTCTTAATTAAAAATCTGTGATATGTCTCCTTGCTTTTGTTTCAAGTTTCTGATGTAACATTCCACACGTTGTGACAAGTTATCTTCTCCTTGTAGTTGTATTGTTGATCTGTGCTTTTAATACATATATATATCATTTCTGCTCAAATTATTTATCTTCTTTAAGGCTTTACAAGTTTATGAATGATTATATGTTAGTAATGTTGAGTTATAATTACCTTAATTTTTTTAACCTCATTCTATACTACCAAAATAAGCATACTCTTAAAGATTTCAGTCCACAATTCCCAATTTTACAAATTCATTGAGACTGAAAATTTTATTGAAAATTAATTCTAAGTATTTTTTTAAAAGTAATCACATCCTGTTTTAATAAATTCTTTCTGCTTTGATTTTGTTCCCTAAATCAGGTTTTATTTGTATTGTTAGATACTTTTAATAATATTTAATCTATTAAAAATTCTAGTATTGGTTACTTTTTTTTGTAATTTACCTTTTGTAATAATTATATATTATGTATAATTATTACAAAAGTTAAATTACTTCTTATAATATAGAAATTCCAGTGTTTCAAACATAAATTTTATAAACTATACCACCACAATCTACTGTCAAAATAAGCATATTTTACGTATTATATAAAAAATGGAGTATATATATATATATTTTTAAATATGCAATTAGACCCCAGATTGGTTTTTATTTGTAAAGCAAAAGTGAATAGGAATTCGTTAAATTGAGATGTAATTTAAAACTTTCCTTTTTCAAAAATTTATTTTGATAACATATGTGCCTAAAATGCAATTTAGAAATGTTTTTTAATTGATAAATACATTACAAAAATCATAATTTTTGATGCACCGTTTATTTATTTAGCAATAATGTAGATTTTTAATCATTCTGTGAATTCCTTTTGAATAAAACTAGCTTTTAAACTATTTCAATCAAATATATATATATTTTAAAGAGAAACTTTCTCATCACGATTTAAGATATATATTAACTTAATTTAATTTTACACATATATTTTTTAAGATATACATTTAACTTAAGATATATATTAAACTTAATTTACCTAACTGTGTAAGTTATTTATGACTTAAGTTTTAAGAGTTTATGTATTGAAATAATTTGAAGACAATTATTTATGTGGTTTCACCTTTATAACATAAAATATATAATGAAAAGAAATGAGTTATTTAAAATAAAGACATATTTCTTTTTTTCTAAATTTTGATTTCTTGTGTTAGTTTGAATGATTATAGAAATAGATTTTTTTAAGATAATTTTTTTCTTCATATTCTGAGAACGGCTTAAATAGGTAGTTTTTCAGCTTAATAGGTAGTTAAATAGATAGTTTTTCATGTAGGTGAGGTGTTTGATGTTCTACTTTAGGTTATTATTTTTCAACCTCAAGTGTAGATTTAAATAGTTGTTGAGGTATTTATTTATCTACCAAAGGTGTGCCATTTTACACTTCGAGTTATTATAAATCAACCTCAAGTGTATGTTTTGATACTTGGAAAGATTATTTTTTATTAACCTGAGGTGTTTCATGTTCTACTTTGGGTTATTATTTCTTAACCTCAAGTATATGTTTATGTATTTTTAGAGGTATTAATTTATTAACCTAAGATGCAACATTTTTGCACTTCAGGCTTTTATAGCTCAACCCGAAGTTGCTTTTTTAATACTTACGAAGATAATACTTCACAAACTTGAGGTATTATACGGTCTGTCAAGTTTATTAATTTTTAACTTTACTATTATTTATATTGTATAAAGAATAGTGTATATCTTC